AAGATAGATACATGAAAGTTTCTGATGTAAATGATCTTGGAAAAAGATAGCGGAAGTAGCGTCCTATTGGTATGATTTTGAAATGACTTAACTTCAAAGTTTTCGAGTATTTGTAGACCTCCGCGTGGACAAGAAACGAAGCATGCGTGGGTTCGGTAAAGAGTGTATTGGTCAGGTTGTAGATAAATAAAATGAAGAAAAGTATAAATAAATAAGATTTAAGAAAATTGAAGTTAGACTTGAGTGTATCATTAGTAAGGTCCAAGCACGCGTTTGACCACAATAATTATTTTTGGTGCATAGCTGCGGTGTGACCGTAAAGAAACCATCGCCTTCGATTTTCGGCTAATGTGACCAGGACATCCATTGAATAGAAATATTCACATTCTCGGGGTGTAAAAGAACTTTCTATCTCAGCCATAGAGGATCACGATGGTTGCGTTATCTCGTTTCACTGTAGCGGTCCAGCCTGTTCCATGGGTTCCAGAAATGAAACGTTTTGATAGTCGATCAGCGATGGTCTTCACCTCAAGCAAAACGCCCTCGAACCATAGATAACCCGATAATTCAATTTGCATATCAACGGCGTAAGTCCGCAATCACATATCTCGTTTGCGGTGTCTGAAACTCCGCCTCTATGTTATTTTTTAAACGAGAACAAATTGACATCATTCCTTGACGTTTATGCAAAATTTTCTTCGCAAAGAGAAGAAAAATCACGGCAGTTTTAAAGAATTGCCTTTGAGTAGTTTTCCGTTCAAAAAAATGACGTATGACAGAAAGTCTGCGACGTCGCAAACCGAGTTATGTGATTGCCGACTTACACCATCGATATGAGTTTCACGCCGACCAGCGATCGCACGGCGTGGCGTTGCGGGAAGCATTCGTGCACTCTTGTAGGCGCTACGCGCACCGGCGATCGCACTGTGCGTTAGGCGCAATGCGTGAAGTATTCGTGCACTCTTGTGGGCGCTACGCGAACCGGCGACCGCACTGTCCGTTAGGCGCAATGCGTGAAGCATTCCTGCAGTCTTGTAGGCGCTCATATGCGTTTGGCTCCGACCAGCGACCGTACTGTGATTGTCGATATGCAATCCACGCATAAACAAATCCGATTTCCCGAATAAACAAAAGCCTTTAAGGCAACAATATTTTTCTTCGCACTCTGCTCCTGCATGTTTTATTTGAGATCAGCAGGACAAAACCACCATTTGTGATCTTTCTATAGGCTTTGAGTGACGTCAGCGAGACAAAATCATCACTTGTGACCTTTTTCAAAATTAAACAAATTCCCGTAAGGTTGAAATGTCGGTCAAAATCCCTTATATAATACTCGAACAGCCCTCAGAATCACGGAAGCTACCCCGCTGCGAAAAAAGTGGCACTTTTTAGTTTCATCCACTCCCACCTTCGTAACCTCGGGTCGCTAACGATCTCGGCAGATCCGTTAACGACCGTCGTCCCACTGGGGACTGACGAGAAATATAATTAATACGTCTCACGTCACCGTCGCGTCGTCAAGACGTCACCGATTCCTGTCCCGTAGAACTCGAATTTCCCGTAAGGTCGCACAGGGGAGCAGGAAATAACAGGCATGATTTGGAAACTTTAAAAGCGTATACATATACAATCTTCGTTTTTCAAGGTGTCTACAAGTCCGGAAAGTCCGGACATGGTACTGATTTTTTAAGGGCGGTCCGGAAGTACCGAAAAAGTGCGGAAATTCCGCAAAAAGGTCCGGAATTGTTTTAAGTTTTTGTCATTTTTGTCGCAATTTCAAATTTTTGAAATTTTTCGAAGTTCGTCAAATGGAGGTGCTGAAAAAGTACGGAATTTTTCCGCTGGGGGAGGTACTGAATTTCTTGAGAGGGTACTGAAAAAGAACTGTAAAAGTACTTATTTTTGATCAGCCTGTTTTAATGTACACCACGTTAATACGAAGCGTAGAAGTATAAATGTGGATTCATCGGTTTCCTTGTGAAGTTTGCACCAATAGTCACCTTTGAAAAGATAAAATGTGACGTTATAAACAAAAAATTTACAATTTTAGACAACAATTTCATTATCGGCTTCTCTTGCTGACATGTTTCACTGTGCGAGGGGCTACGCAACTCGACCGAGGAGTGAGACGCATCTTCTCCTCGTAGAATCTGCGAGACATAAGGGTGAGGGGGGCTAGGAAGGCGGGGGTGAGGAGGGGGAGATCATTAGATCGTCTCAAAATTGCGCAACGGTTCACTGGAATTGAAAGGGGTTCACAAACTGCTTGCATTCCTGCACCGAGAGCGGAGAGGGGGGAGAATTAATAACCTGGATTCGAGGAAGCTGAGACCTTGAGGCGGGGGCTGGAACAATTCTGCCACGCTGAGGAAAAGCAGCTTAACAACATTCAGACACTGCCGATTTTCTTCCCATAAAGTGCGATTCTTCTCGAGAGCTCGTCAATTCTCATCTCCGAATTTTTTCGATGGATCTCCTACGCAAATCAATCTACTGCGCTTGAAGATTTTTAAAGAGAACATCAATACCCTCGCTTGGAAGTTAGAATTCCGCCGAGAGACATCTGACAAGGTTGTAATGCACTTACGATGTTTCTCCTGCGCGTGCAAGAACGCGAGAGATAGTGATGCATATTTCTCGGAATCAAACCGAACGGCTCTTGAGTGTACGTTCCTTATGAAGGGTTACTGATGCTGGATATTAGGCTAATTGTCTTGACTGGATTAAAGACAAGCTTTAAGCTTGGCTCTTGAATAATGCTACCATTTCATAGGAAGCTAGAAGTTGATTAATTATGATGTTAATTGTATATCCGGCAAGTTCACGCTTTCGTCGGTCTCAGAGGGTTGGTTACCCGCCTATTTCATAGAAACAATTATCCCAGAGTAAAAAGACCAGAATTCGGCCAGATTTTTAATTCAAATTCCCTGATTTTCCCGGAAAAGTCTCGTTCGCTGACGTTACCTATTTTCCACGGGCCTTAGTCACCGCGACGGAAAATCGACGATTTACTGCTTCGCCCTCTCGGCGATCAGTGCGTCGGAGCGGCAAATACAGAGAAACAATGAGTGCAGAATAATTCAACTCGAAATTTAATCGATGAATATTTTAAATTTAATCAAAGACAATTGCCGGGTCAAGACAGGAGGGGGCAGGGGGGGCGGGGTGGGTCCCGAGGGATCGGGTCCCCCGGGATTCGGCGGAGCAAATAAATGAAGATTTAATGGAAATTACGGCTATGACTTGGGCGAGGAGCGACGGGCGACGCGCGGGCCGGGATAATATAAACTTTAATTAATCACTCCTCGACTGGATGAGCGTTTAAGCGTGGGCTCAGTGTTCCGCGTATCTTTCGCCGATAGCTTTTTCAGTTAATTTGCGAATAGTCAAACGCGAACGGGAGCTTTTGTTGCAGCTTAATTTGTCGTATCATCCTTCTCACCGTCCAGGATTTCATTTCCTTCTCGAGTGCCGCGCGTTACGATTCTGTTTTCTCTTCCTCGTACAAANNNNCCCTCCAGACACACATACTCACAGCCTCTCACACTGATAAAAAATAAAGTTCAGTCGTATGAGCTGAACGTTCGGTGTTAACCAGCAACCAATCAGAAAAAGTAACCTATATCGACGGTGTAAGTCGGCAAACACATAACTCGTTTGCGGTGTCTGAAAATCTCCGCCTCTATGTTATTTTTTTAAGGGAGAACAAATTAACATAATTCCTTGGTGTTTTTGCAGAATTTTCTTTGCACAGAGAGGAATAATCACGGCAGTTTTAAAGAATTGCCGTTGAGTAGTTTTCTGTTTAAAAAATAAAGTATGACAGGAAGTCTGCGACGTCGCAAACCGAGTTATGTGATTGCCGACTTGCACCGTCGATATATTGGGGTCATATGCTACCGTGCTAAGGAAAAATGTCGTATGAGCCTTCAGATGCTGCCAGATTTCCTTCACTAAAAACCGAATTCGCTCGTAAAATTTTGATTATTTTTTCCCGAAATGTTCAGACAATTTTGTACGCACTTTAATCTAAAATATCTGAAAATTTCAAGGAAAAATATGCAAGAATGTCGTCAAAAATACATGTTTTATCGTGGAAAATTTGGCATCTCTCGAATGTTCTTATGACGTTTTGTCTTAGCACGGCAGTATGGGAGTAGAACACGTAAGGCTGCGTCACACGATCCAACGGAGTTATCGATGCGGCAAGGTCAGGGTTCTGATTGATGCTAAGAATACCAATCAGACACGGAAAAAAGAAATAGGGGTTAAGTCCTAACATGAACTTGGACTTTTCCAATTAATTTTAGTAGTGCCCCAATTAGTTGTGGTACCACCCCAATAAATTAGCTTATTAACAAAAATGTCGCGGTGCTACCCCAACTTGAGTCGGGGTACTGCCACAATTAAATGGTAATGTCCATATCATCCGACATATTGGGGCAGTGCCACAATTTTAAGGAATAACTTCTAACACTTCTCTCAATGCCATCAAATTACTGCGGGACACGGTAATTTGATGGCACACTGATCTGTGATTGGCGCGCGAGAACCTACTGCGCAGTGACTTTGATAGTTTGACAGCCGCAGTTTGACCTTGTGACCTAAGCTAACGTAACCAAAACGTTCGATTAGTATTTATTGTTAGTTTTACATACACCTCATATTTAAATTACCTAATTTTTGAACTTGGACAACAATACCAAGAGTCCGATATGAACGCAAATCACACCATTGACAGCGTTCATCTTATTTTTATTTTCCAATCTTAAAAATGTTTTAAAAATGAAGAAAACAGACTGTTACGACCGAGTATTACGCATTATGTAGACGAATTATGTACATGTGCACAAAGTTCTACGAATATACGTCAAACAGCTCCGGCGCAACTAATTAAGTACTTCTGGATGCAACTACACCTGCTCAATGGATGTCCACATTGCAGATGCGCAAAATTGAAGGGGTTTGAGGTCATGGAATAAAAAGACATATGTACTCACGGTGAGATCGTGGGCGATGAGGCGTTCACGGCGTTGACCTGGGCGAAGGACGGAGGTCTCGGTGACCCATATGACCCGGGTGGGGGCCGGATTGGCACAAAATTCCGCCACGATTCGTATGTGCTTCCCCGACGCCGTCACGATCGACGAATTTGAAGGGTACACTACTGGGCCTCCTGAAACAAAACAAAACAAAATCATCAGATCCCTCAACACTGATAAATTTTTTTTTTTTTTTTTTTTTTTTTCTTAAAGTTTTTATTTTGTAAACTTCCAAAGGAATTATATACAATATCTTTACAATAAGGTAAATCAGTATACAGGAAACAACAGAGAAGTTTCTTACTTCTTGAATGAGAAGGTAACTAAGGTGAGTAAAAGTAGCAAACTACCACTAAATAGCCCTCCCTGTCCCTAATAATCACATTAACACATATAAATGAGTATAAAACTCATTATTACAGATAAAAATTATGATTAAAATTACTGTTTTAATCGTGAGACTGAAAAAATAGTATCTAAGTTTGAGAAAAAAAGAGGTTCGATTCCTTGCATTTAAACCTCCGGACGGTCTATCTAAGTCAAACAGCTGCGGCGCTACTAATTGATGACTCCTGGATGCAATTATCCCTGCACAACGGATGTCCACATTGCAGACACGAAGAATTGAAGGCGACTCTTGTTCGGTCGTACTCACTGCAATGAGACACGAGACCGGCGATTGGTAACATATTAAGAATACGGAAGGGACGAAGAGACGGAGGGCAGTGAAATGCAATCTACGTCAGTGAAGCAGTATTTTACTGTCTCTGAACTGCCCATCCGAGAAACTTGCAATTCGATGGTTAAATTGCAGAAATGCGCGTATCGATTAGCGGAATTGCAGATTCCCTGTCATGATTTAAATTATCCACACGGAAAACTACTAATAACAACTACCGCACGGAAATAATTTATTGACGATTTCGGTGATTTTTCTTTTCTTTATGAAGAATATTCTGTGAAAACTTCAAGCCATGCGATATTGGTTTGGCCTCCTTCGAAAAATAAAAAAGGAACGGAGATCTCGAAACACCGCAATCGAGACACTCACATTTGCAGTTTCACATTTGACTTTCGTTGCCGATGCAATTCCCTCTTGAACCCAATGGAGATGTTGCATGTGTGAGGAATTTGCGATTTGACTGTTGATCCAAACCTAAAAGTTCGCGAGAAACACGATGGTGCGACCGGTTTTTTCTGAAATCAACTCCCAAGCTCAAAAAAGCTCTCAAATTGACGCCGAAATGGAGGGGATATCCCACGCTATCCTGAGAGTCCACCTCTACATCAAGACGAACTCTCCATGCAAAGATGGGGAGCAAATACATTGACAGCGCTGCCACTTTATGTGGGAACTCTTAAACTGAAAGCACTGCAACCCTGCTAATGTATTTGCTCCCTATCTTTGCATGGAGAGTTCGTCTTGATGCAGAGGTGGACTCTCAGGATAGCGTGGGATATCCCCTCCATTTCGGCGTCAATATGAGAGCTTTTTTGAGCTTGGGAGTTGATTTCAGAAAAAAACTGGAGTCCCTTTATACTGAGAGTCAAGACAATGCGAATCCATTTCTGATTGGTTAACCGGATTTTAGGCCTTCACAGTGTCACAAACGGGAATAATGATTACATTTTCACCAATTGCAAAGATTATAATCTGGAATGGACCGAGGAATTTCGGGTTGAAAGAAACGGAATGAAAGAAGGAACGGAGAGAGGAATTTAAGAATGAGCCGATCAAAGATTACGAAAAACGTTCAATTTCTGTAATCTTTATTCCCGTTTGTGACTCCATGTTGTGACTCCAGGGTGTTGTCTTGACTCTCAGTATAAAGGGACTCTAGAAAAAACCAGTCGCACCATCGTGTTTCTCGCAAACTTTTAGGTTAGGATCAACAGTCAAATCGCAAATTCCTCACACATGCAACATCTCCATTTAGAAAAACCTCAGTCCAACACTACATAACTTAGGTCTGCTTTGAATGCTTTCGGTGTAGATACTACTGAATTTCTTGATGCTACTCAGCCGACGGTCCTTAAAACACGGACGACCGCGAGCACTGGACTTTTAATTCCTGGTCCTGGCTTTAATCACCGGACGAAGCGGAGCGAATCGCATCAATCAACCGGATGAGACGCGCAATCCCGCTGCACCAAAGCGTGTCGGGATGAGGCACCGGAACTGGGGCACCGGAAATGGGGCACCTCTCGGGGGTAGTCGCCAGGCGATTCCACCTCAGGTTTAACTGTCTGTTAGTGTGCCGTAATGGACCATATTACGAGCGGATCTGATGAGCGCCCCCCCCCCCATCTCGTTCCACTCGAATCATCAAGAATATGGGGCCAGTCCGTGCTATGGAGGAACGTCGTGAGAACGTTCGAATGTTGCCGGGTATTCCCGGGTGAACTGTTCATTTTTCAGGGAAGTTGGGAATATTCTTCTTTGAAGTTTTCAGATACTTGAGATAAAATTCTGAGCAAAATTATTTTGAAAAGTTGGAAGGAGAATATCTAAAAATGTCACGGGAAATCCACATTTTTTCAATAAAAATTTGGCAACGTTCGAACGCTAATACGGTGCTCTTCTTCAGCCTGGCAATTATGGTTTTGGTCTTCGATGTTCTGTTCCCGGCATGCTTGGTCGGGGACGAAGTGTTTAGACGCCCCGCATTAAGGCTTCCCGAAGAGCTAGGGATTATTTTCCAAAGATTAACATTTCTATTGCGTAAAGAATGATTTAAGTAGGGCCCTGTGCGCAACACATTTTGAAAAGAGCGTATCTGCCCGATGGGAAAATGTCGGTTAAATTAGCCGTATGGGCTGGGTTTGGGGTAGCTCTCCAAACGAAATCCGGCCAGCTGATTACTGAAATTTGTAGAAAAAGCAAAAGACGAAGAGCAAACGGAGCAATCCTATTGGTAAATGCGGGCGGTTGCATGGACAAAGGAGGTAAGTAACAGACAAATCGACGACCCACGAGGGTCCCTGCAGTCCATCATTTTCCCCCTTGGTCCAAAACATCCTTCGTTTCAGCCGATAGGATTACTCAATTTTCCCTTTCTAAAAGTAGCAGACTAGATTGATAAATAGCACTCATAAAAAAGGGATTTTTCGATCAAAATCATTTGATGACGATTCGATAATTAACCCACAAGCGAAGGAGAATATACTCACAGCTCCGTAATTTGTATACAAGCTCCACTCACGTAAGGACAAATCTGTGTTTCCACGTGAGCCATGAAACGCATGATGTTAAACGGAGAATAGGGCTCACGTGGACATTGAGATACGACCTTACGTTCGAGGGACGACGAATTATCGCTCGAGCACAGTGGGCGTTCAGTGGCGTGCGAATGACTCAATTTGATGTTGATTTTGAAGGGAGATAAAACTAGACGGTCAGTTATGAATTGCTCGTAATTGTCACGATGACGGTGTTTTCAACAGGTTATTCTGGAGAGCCCTTCGTGGCTACGACAAATGACTGCGGTAATGGGCACGACAATTCATTTTTGAACAATGGACAGTGCAATGTAAAACTCACGAGTACAAGAGGAAACAACCGAATTTGAATCTACAGCATTACTTTTTAGGCCGAGGAACCATTCGAGAAATCGCTAACATTTTTAAATTCTTGAATTTCCTGTAAAGTTTAATCTTTAACTTTAAAGTGTTAAGTTCCAAGAGTGATTAAAATGTTAAAAAAAATGAGAGGAGTATCACATCGTCAAAATTATAGATTACAATTATTGTCAAAATATTGGCTCATCTATTAAAAAATGTCCATAAGATTATATAACTAATCGGCTGCAGATGAAACAACTACCACACCCTTTTAGTAGTATATTACACAAAAGAGCAGATTCATGATTTTAACGTCTGAGAAGGGCTGCGATATTTGCATTTTGATGATAGAAATTTGAAGAAAATTCCGGTACATGTCAGAACAAATAAAATTTAACGTTTCCATGTGAATTTTACGACAGAAAATCAAGCCTGATTCATATCACTGGAATGCAACCGCAAAAATATGAAAAATACCCAAAATTATGACGATAAATAATGAAGAAAAAAGAAACTAACCGCTTCAAGTATTTTTTAAAATTTGGCCGGGGACTAAACTAAACGGTACGTATTTTTCTTTTTTTTTCATGCAAATGGACCTTTACACTGCATCTTTTTATACATGCAATTGCTTGACCGTACAGGCAAATTGAAGTCATTTATGTCATTTTTAAAATTTTCTGAAAATTAAAAAAACAACGAGAAAGAAGATCGGTGTGCAGTACCGAGGCAGAACCTTGCGCAATCTTCCCTTCAACACAACTTAAACTTTACGAACCTCCATAAATTACGAAAGTTTGAGGTCAGTTTACGTAAACAGCCTCTGAACTTATTCAGTTGCACGCGGGCATATTTTGTCCCACTAGTTGCAGAACTGCATAAAACAGAGAGTAGGCGTTACCATCGTATGTTACGTATAAAAAGTGTGAATGAACCCTTTTCATGCACATTCATCGGCTGCTAATACTAACAAACTGTATGATTCCGTTAAAAAGGGAAAAATAAATGTAGGAGTAGAGGTGTCATCAGCTAAGTTGATGGTTGTTTACTTTCGGTTTGCAAGCGCCAACGACGAATTTGGGCCTCTGCACAAAGCGGCGATCGCTACTAACCACTTTAAAAACATCCGTCTCATGATTGTATCGTGGGAAAACTACTTATCGGTTTTGATTTGCGACTTTTATGTGGTTGTGATTTCTGTGTGGCTAAAAATTAAAATGTTACAAGTTTTGAAAGTATTAAAAAACTTATAAGCTTGTGTTCTTGCTTCTGCGGGAGTCGGATGTTTTCTCGTGGATAGTAAATACACGGAAACGCTTGCAAACCGAAAGTAAACAACCGTCAACTTAGCTGACGACACCTCTAGGAACTTTCGAATGAAGAAAAGCGGATTCGAAAATAATCCTTGCAGTAAAAGGGCCCGAAGAGTTAAAAAAAGCGTCAAAGCAAAATGGCTGAAAATCTGTGTTGTTGAAAGCCCGCTTTTGCGTCTATGATGTAAAGATTATGAACTTTGATTACGCTCTTCGGAAAGATCAAATGAGAAAAGAAGAATAAAGGAAAAAGTTAATAA